TATAGGTAGCATAGCATACACTGCAGAGTTCTGACACATATGTATACCTGATTGTTTTCAATCATTTATGTTACTGGCGAATGTCAAAGGCTATTTTAGTTGGCCAGCCCTGGATTTGAAACTGCAATGCACTGAAGTAGAATTGCATCCCTGAAGAAGAGACATTCTGCAACCCCAGGTGAAGGGAAGACAAATGTGCTATGTCATCGACTTTAAAAATAACTAACATTTATTAGGTACTTAGTGTATGCCAGGGCTTGCATGAAGCATTTTACATGGATTATCTCCATCAGTCCTAATAAACCCATTTTACAGGTGAACAAATTGAAGTGTAAAGAGGTTAAGNGGATTTGAAACTGCAATGCACTGAAGTAGAATTGCATCCCTGAAGAAGAGACATTCTGCAATCCCAGGTGAAGGGAAGACAAATGTGCTATGTCATCGACTTTAAAAATAACTAACATTTATTAGGCACTTAGTGTATGCCAGGGCTTGCATGAAGCATTTTACATGGATTATCTCCATCAGTCCTAATAAACCCATTTTACAGGTGAACAAATTGAAGTGTAAAGAGGTTAAGTTTGGATTACCCTGTACACAAGTCACATTTTATTCAAAGTATGCTCTGCTCAAGACCATTCTTAATTCAAAACAAATCCTTATAAATGTTGGCTGGTATTTTTGCTTAGCCTGAGGGTCTGCTGAGTGGACAGTGGAGGTACTGATGCTAGTTTTTAAAAACGGTTTGTACATGCAATTAAGCTGTGGTTGATTGCATTCAAGAGTGTTCTGTTTAGGCACTGGACTGGAAATCCTAGACTTTTTTCAATTTTACCTTGGGACTTTAGATACGGTTTTGTTTTTGTTCTTGTTTCGAAGTCAGCTCACTCTAACAGAACCACTGCTTTCTTTTCCACCTGTGGCATTTGGGGAGCAGATTTTAATACTTAGATTTGGCTGTTAAAATTCTATACATTTGTGTACATCTTCAAAGAATACAGAGACATTTCTGCCTGAACGTGACTTGGGTGTCTACAGCACATATCTCTGGTCTAGAGCCAGCCAGGAACACCTGGTTCACCCCTACACTCATTTCCTATTGCTACAGAGCTATGCAGAGGCCCCTGGGGATGTTGGGGCTGGGGGGAGTGTGCACTGTGGGGGTCAGTGAAGGAAATGGTGAATACATGAGGGGATACGTGAGTTTATCTGCACATCCAAGAATAGTACTATGGAACTACACTTGTATGTGCTATTGTACGTGGCACTAATATGTTATTAAATTTCTGTAAATTTCAAATATTAATCCAGTTAGGAAGTTTTAGTAAATGAAAAGCCTACAATAAATAAGACATCCTACCAATATGCGTCAGTGTTATTGCTTGATATGTTTGTTATGTGATCGTTAAAGTACTCTGGCCCTGTTTTTATAACAATAAAGCATTGAAGCATTTTCCTCTGTTACACACTCTAAATCCTTCTTCAGGCTTGATGAGGTTCAGATAGCAACTCAGTTGAATTGATCAGTTTCCGGAGTTTGTTACTGCCCCGTGTGCAAATTGGCACAGAAGTGAATGGCTAGTTATTGAAGTGAGACTTGCCTCTCAGCGCATCCTTAGCCTCTTGGTTTTGGACCCAGCAAATAGTTGGGAATATGCCCAAGCCAAGACCCATCTCCTATGGCACTCTTCCAGAAAACACACTGATAAATTGGCCAGATGTAGTTTCTACAGGCCCACTGAGGCTCGCAATGATTTCCTTCCATTGTTTCAAACTTGATGCATATGGCTTCTGGAACTAGGAGAGAGGGTGAATAGTCACTCTGTCCAGAAAAATTATCTCTGTTCCTCTTCCTTAAGCAATTAGATACTTTGCTGACTTTTGGGGGTTTTGTCCTAATAGTAAGTCCCCTGGACTTGTACTAGCTCTTCTCTGTGTATGTTTTATAGATGCAGCAATTAGTAGAAGATGTGCTTTTGTGAATTTGTATCTATCTCTAATTTTCCAATATTCTAATCTATGCTGACTTCTGAGTTAGGTAAGCACTTCATAATGCCTTGAAGAACTACGTTGCTTTTTCTGGAGTTGATGCTTGGATCAAATCTTAGACATTCTTGGGGCTTCCGAGGCCTTGTAATCCAAGCCCCTCTTTATAGGAAAACAACCAAACCTGGGGTCACTAAGTTAGTTGCAGAGTGAATTAGATGGCAGGCATTCAGACCACTGACCTTTTCCTTAGAGTAGAGAAGTTTAAGAATATAAGATTATAGCACCGATGGAGTACTTTTTCTTTTCAGCCACACACAGTGTGTGTGTGTGGGGGGGAGGCTGAGATGGTAGGGGATCCAGCCTATACTTGTTTGTGGCTTAAGTGACTTTCATTATTGGCTCAGTGGTGGCTCTTATAATCCTAATAGGTGCTTCCAGGGATGGGTGATTCCCTGGTCATTACAGGTGACTTCATCCATCTCTTCTCCAGATAGTCCCATTATTTCTATCTGCTGCTAATTGCCTTTCCCCAAGCCATCCTTTGCTTGGTGGTACTGTTGTTTGTTACATCTTTATTGCAGTTTCCTCAAAATTCCACCTTCTGGAAGATGTTCAAGCTAACAGCTTAACTTCATCTCTAAGAATGGCATTGCATAGACGTTTTCAGTGTTCAAAAGCAGGACATGGGGATTACTAAGTTGCATGAGGATATAAA